TAAGTAAGTTGCATGCAGGTGAAGTTTGCGCTTCTAGCTGGCCATATCTCTCCCTAATAGTGGACCCGGTTCCTAGTGTGTTTCCCCGTGCCCCCCCCTTTCCTCCCCTTGCAGTGTCCAGTACCTGCCCCCACCCCCGTGCTAGTGTGACCAGAGTTCAGGGCCTGCTTATGAGTAAAAACATGCAATCTTCAGTTCTTTATTTCTATAATAGTTCATTTATTATGATAGTCTCCAGCCGCATCCAAGTTGCTGTGAAGGCCATGACTCTGTTCTTCTTTATGGCTGCATAATATTCCATCGTGTAGTATGCATATTTTTTAAAAATGGTATAATGAAATTTAATAAGTTGTTTTGTTTCATTCAACAATCTACTCTGAACCTTGTCAAAAAGTGTGGTTCTGTAACACAATCTTAACTGTATATGATATTCTCTTTTATGTACTTAACCCTTTGTTAAACATTTAGGTTGTTTCTAATTTTTTTGTTAAAATTCTTTTTAGTTGCTATGATGACCATATTGCTAAATCTTTATATACATATACACAATTATTTTCTTATAAAAGTTTTCAAAGTTGAAACGGGAATGCACATTTTAAAAGCTTTTCATATGAAATAACTTATAGTCATTCAAGAAGGTTGTACCAGTTCATATTCCAGTAAACAGAGTGGCCAAACATTTGTTTCTGTTATTTTGTCCATCATCACTATATTGTTTAAATAACTCCAAGATTATACTCTTATCTTCAAAACTTCCTTAACTCTTTTCCCAAGTTTAATCTTTCAGTTTAGAATTCCTTTGTCAAGTACCACATTCCACTAGGATTTTATTGAAATGGCATTGTAGTTTTCACTTTAAAAACATTGTTCTACATAGATAATACCATTGTGCACTCTAAAGAGAATTCATCATGAATAGATTCTGCCAGGAAAACCAATACTGTTTAGTAAGCAAGACTATTTCTAGAAAAACACTATAAACAAAGTGGCTATTTTGAAAAATAAATTCCCATGACACCACGTTAGTATAATAAACAAGAATATACAGCATATATATTTAAAAATATGAAATTAGAGAAATAGATGCTGATTTAAGAAAAAAAGATAATGTTTTGGAATAAGGGCAGATTTCCTAACACCTTATGATTTCTTAAACAATATATTAAAAAAGAAACACTTAGGAAAAAGAGAAGTTGTTTTCTATGATATAAATTTAAAGTGCCAAGAACTGATAAAAGTATAAGAAGAGGAAAGGCAATAATCAATACAGTAGTTAGTCTGAACTTGAAAGACTTATGTAAAAAGCAATTCAGGCAAAACAGCTTGATGCTACACTGAGCTGGCTATATCCAGAAAATACAGATTTGAAGAAAACCAGAAATTACCAACTACACGGGTACTACCAAGGGAAATCTACTGAAAAGGTGGCCAAAGGAAAGATGCTTCTTAAATTCTGAAATTGCAGTTCTAAAAAGACCATGGTTTCCTTTGAAAATCTGATGAAGGCTATCAACCATTTTTAACGAAAATGCAAATACATACAAACACACTATTCTGCTTATACCCTAAAGGTGTTCAGTGCCTTCAAATTAAGAATACCTGCCTTGTCTGAAGGAAACATGATAATGGAAACATTTGATAAAGACACATTTTCAGAATGACAGTGAAGATCTATCAAACCAAGTGGTTGGAATTTATTATTTAAATTGAGGTAGGAAAAATCTGGCAGATATGAATGAAGGCTTTGGACTGCTGTTTGACATCCGCCTCTACTAACTACTCGACTGAAATTACATTCACTAAAAGGACCAATGGCATTTTTGTTACTGAATTATGCCGTACTTGATTTCTTATGTTACTTGATCTCTATAACAGGTAACACTGTTAACCACTTAACACCGTATTTTTGGTTTTCTCTCAAAGGGTGGTTTCTTCTTAGTTTTGAGGGTTCTTATTACAATTTCTACATACAATCTTAAATCTCTGAAAAATCTGATATCACTCCAGTTTCAAGGTGCTGTTTCTCTTTTCACAAGTCAAGAGAACCAGTGATGGAAAATCTCATCTTAAATGATGTAAACGTTGATTGGTGACACATACCAGGACTTGCCTAAGCAGAGGTAGAGCAAATGTGTAGAGGACATTAGTTGTGCAGGTATAGAGGTGGGCCCTAGGAGCTGTTCACCACTTCTCCAAATCTGCAGGAGCCGCAGAAGAATTGATGGAGCAGCCTGGTTCACTAACTTAACATGGATCTTCAGTGCTCTACCTTCAGACTCTGACAAGAAGAAAATGCATTTATCTGTCAAACTGGATCCCTGCAGTTCATGTGTGGGAAATGGTCTCTCCGGGATGTTGTGAAGTTGGAATCAGAGATCCAGGCACCAATTCGGCTTTCTCCCCTAGAGGAGACTGTGGACTCACTGTCACTGAGTTTGGTTCAAGAATCAAAAACAGCTTGTTTCTACATATTATCTTAAATGGAAGCATTAAGAGCAGAGATTAAGTTTTTCTTGAGCAGTGATGTAAGCCCCAAGGATAAAAATGCTGTAGTGTTGAAATGAAGCTTCTCCACATCTGTGGGGACCTACTTTGGGCACTATCATCAGAGACGTCGGACCATAGGAAGCTGTGCTGATATGTGATTCATTCGCACCTGCTCTATGGCCATCATCTTTCCAATATGAGTCTGAATTCTTGACTAAATAAACTGGAAACACAATCTAATCTTTTAAGCGTCCAAGTGTAATCACTCTCTTTCTCTATTCATTGTCCACTTGAAACAATGCAGTTTATTGCTATGTTCTGAAAATTAAATCTGTCACAATTTTTTCTCCAGAATTAGGTAACTTTAAAAGGGTGAGAGGCTGACATCATGACTCTTGCCTGCAGTCCCAGAACTTTGGGAGGTCAAGGTGGGAAGATCACTTAAGATCAGGAGTTCGAGACCAGGTTGGGCAACATAGCAAGACCCCCAACTCTACAGAAAATTAAAAAAAAAAAAACAACTTATCTGGGTATGGTGGTGTGAGCCTGTATTCCCAGCTTAAGAGACTGAGGTGGGAGGATGACTTGAGCTCGGGAGGTTGAGACTACAGTGAGCTATGATCATGCCACTGCACTCCAGATCAGGACAGAGCAAGATCCTGTCTCTTAAAAAAATTAAAATTAAAATAATTAGAAAGACATAAGTGCTACATGAATATTTATTTGACCTTTGTCTTCAACGCACTTCACCAAAAGTCCATTCCAGAAAACTGAACCACATCCGAGGTTGTCCCATGCTGTGGAGTAAGGAACCCAAAACTTGGTTCCATCACCCAGTGGCAGGTCACCTAATCTTACAAGGATATAGTGAGAATGAGAACAATATGGAAAAAATGCCTAGGCCTCCTGATTGTGGGTGCAATGGTGGTGATAGTTTTGGGAAAGGAAGTAGTAGCACTGGTAGTTATGATCCTGCAAAATACAGGATACTGTACATCCTTTAAACATCTTTTACTTATACCAGATGAATTGATGAAAACCAATACCCTTTCATAGAAAAGCATCCAATAACCTAGGAACTAGAAGAAAATTTATCAACATGATAAAGCCTATATATAAAAAAGCCACAGCTAACATTATACTCAACGGTGAAAAGACACAAAGTTTTTCTCCTAAGACTAGAAACAGAGAAAAAAAATCAATAGTATTTCTATCCACTAGCAATTAGCAATCTGAAAAGGAAATTAAGAAAACAATTCTCAATGGTATTCAAAAGAATAAAAAACTAAGAATAACTATAGCCAAGGAAGTTAAAGGCTTGTACACTGAAAACTATAAAGCACTGCTTAAAGAAATTAAAGACACAAGTAAATGGAAAGAAGGCCAGAAGTGGTGGCTCACACCTGTAATCTCAGCAATTTGGGAGGTTGAGGCAAGTGAATTGCTTGAGTCCAGGAGTTTAAGACCAGCCTGGGCAGCATAGTAAGGCCTCATCTCTACAAAAAAATAAAAGCATTAGCCATCTGTGGTGGCACCTGCCTGTAGTCCCAGCTACTTGGGAGGTTGAGGTGGAAAAGATTGCCTGAGCCCAGGAGTTTGAGGCTGTAGCAAGTTGACCAGGATCATGCCACTGTATTCCAGCCAGGGTGACAGAGTGAGACCCCCGACTCAAAATAAATAAATAAATGGAAAGAAGTCCTGTGTTCCTGAATTGAAAGACAATATTTTAAGATGGCAATATTCTCCAAGGCAGTATGCAGATTAGATGCCATCCCTAACAAAATCTCCATAGTTCTTTGGACAGAAACAGAAAAACTGATCCTAAAATTCAAATGGAATTTCAAGTGACCCAGAATGGCCAAAAATATTAAAAACAATAATATAAACCAGTAGAACAGAGTTGAGAGTACAGACTTAATTCCTCATATGTGTTGTAACTGATGTTTGACAAGGGTGTCATGATCATTCAATGGAGAAAGAACATGCTCCTCAACAAATGGTGCTTGGAAAATTGGGTATCAACATGCAAAAGAACTTTACACCATATACAAAAATTAACGCAGAATGAACCAAATACCTAAGTTTAAGAGATAAAACTATAAAATTTAAGGGAGCAAATCTTCATAACTTTGGGATTTGGCAACATCAAAAGCATAAGCAACAAAACAAAAAATGAGTAACTTCAACTTAACAAACTTTAAAACATTTGTATATCAAAGGACACTGTCAAAAGAGTGAAAGGACAACCCACAGATATTGAAATCATCTCTATATTGTAATGTCCCTTAAAACCAAGGCTAGGGAAAAACACAAAACAGCAATAAACGTCAACTTCTCTCCCAAAATTTTCCTAAACAACCCCCACCCCCACCCCCTATTATGTGTTTGTAACTTCTTCTTTAGACACTGAGTGAAGAATGTAAGGCTAAAAGCCCTGAAGTGAGCCCCAGGGACGTTTACCTGGGCTTTTCCTTCTCCTCCCTCTATCTTTCCTGAAGGGCAGCTCCTCAGCTCTAAATCCTGGGGAGGCCCAAGGTGGAGGCTGGAGTGTGGGGGATGGCTCCCTTCACAGAGAAAGGGACAGAGGAGTACAGGGGGGTAAAGTGGGATCCCCCATGGTGGGGGCCATCAAAACGGAGCAGTGGTGCTGAGGGAAAGCACGCCAGGGCCCCTGGGCGAGGAGGCCCGGCTGCCCTCACTGACCCCTGCGGGGACGCATTCTCAGTCAGCTGAGGGCCCATCTTGCTTCGGTCCTCGAACCAGCCTCGGACCAGGTCCTTCTGCAGCCAGAGGCACCTGGCGATGAAGCTGACTTGCTGTGGGGTGGGCTTCGGACACTGCAGGAAGAGTCTTTCCAGGCTCTTTCTGACCCGTTTCTCACTGCTGGCCCGTCTCGACTTCCGAACTTGCAGCAAGATCATCTCCATTTTGCAGAGGCCCAGAAGGTTCTCCGCGCCCACTTCCTGCAGCCACATTTTCAGCAGGGGCTGCAGCCTCCACATGCTGGCGAGACTCAGCTGCCGGGCCTCGAAGCGGCAGATGGTGGTCTGGCTGAGCACCTTCCCGAACAGGGCCCCCACCGCACACCCCACGTCGGCCTGCGAGTACCCCAGGGCCATCCTCCTCCGCCTCAGCTCCTCGGCCAGCTGCTCCAGCTCGCTCTTGATGGCGGAGACGTCCTCAGGTGGCGCTGACGTCGGGATGCTGCGCAGGACAATGTAGGGTCCTAGGCAGGGCCCCACGGAGGTCCCGGGGCAGGCACCCTGGCACAGGCTTTGGAGCTGGGACCCTGGCTTTCCGGTCCCCGGCTGAGGCCCGCAGGGTCCCATCCCGCCCTGGGATTCATTCGTCAGGGGACCCAGGGGCGTTCCCCAAACCTCAGGACCTGGGCAGACCCCGGGTCTAACCACCAGCCTGCCAGGAGTGGCCTGGTTGCTCAGCCAGGTCGGAGTGTCAACCCACACGGG